CTTTCTTACTTGTTTTACCTAAAATAGCTTGCAAATGGATTCTTTGTCGCAATAGCAAAAAACTTCCACACTAAAGCTTTTAAAAAGTTCAATTAATACTGGTTTCAAGACAAAACAGAAAAAAATAAAATAAAGTCCTTCTATATTTGAAAGTCATTTTGAAAGTCAACCAGACTGTTTTTGTGAACTTTCCGTCTCTAAATCTTTAAAATACAGTACATAGCTTATATTTTGCTTCTCCTCTCGCTCTGGAGATACTTGATTTTGTAATTTTTTTTTTCCAAAATAGAACACCATGCGTCGCTTGCACAGCATCAAAAGTTTTTCGCCTCTGCAGAACATTTGTGATATTTTGAGTTGTGACTGTTTTTTATTTATCAGATACATAAGAACCTCTTCTGGCTAGCTCGTCGGCCATCTCGTTTCCATGAATGCGGCTGTACACCGGCGCCCAGATTAGTTCAACGACATGCCTAACTATCAGCCAAAGCGGTAACCTACTCTGGGCATTATTTAATTATGCTGTATGCACGCCTCTATGATTGCAAAGAAATCTGCCTGAAATACTCTGGCCGTATTTGCTAGTCGAATATACTTTTACACTAGGAGGTAAGTTGAAAAATCCTCGCCGCTACGCCACTATCCATTTTTGAGCCATCCATAGGAGTAGATGCTTCGAAGCGTTTCGTAAAAGCAGCATTTTTCCACCCCTTCATTCATAGAAATATTGTGCCGAAGTTTTTCGCGAAGAGAAGCAACGGGCAGATGTAGTCAGATTTTTCGTAAATGTTTGGGCCGTTGAAGAAGTACAGGATACGTCCATGCTCGTAAGTGCATTTTTTCCACGGACTCAGTGCCCACAACCTACGGGCACTCTGTGAAGCACCTTATTTTATAAAGTGTTCACTCGGTAGCATATAATAGACGACATTCAGCGCCCTGTTGGATATGATCTGATTTTCTTGCAAGAATACGGGACCCCATAGGCCTTTTTAACTCGTTGTTCTATGTTCCTTTTCCATTGGCCATTCCAAGTGGCAGTAAAAAGTACGATTGTAAGGGGGAAAATTTAAGAAAAAAATTTAAGCAATAAAATTTTGTTCGAAAAAAAACATGAAGAAATGTATTTTATTGTCCAAGGCTTACTTCTCTAAATATTCGAATATTTCGCTTAAAACGCTTATA